TAAATATAAAAATTAAAAGACAGTTCTGATCATTTAGTTTATTATGGGATATAATCATTTGATTTTTTTCATACCTATAAATATTTTAAAAAAATTACAAAAAATCTATTTACAATTTAAAGGTTTTACTCAAAGGAAGTATGTTATATACTTAATAGTTAAATACTTAATAGGTCTAACAGTGTCTTATTCACTACGTTGCAAGCATTCAACTTCCCGGGTAAATAATATATTTATTTGTTTATAGTGAGAAAACAGCAATTACTTATACGTTCCATGGTTGAGATCCATGGCTAAGTTACATCCAAAGCCTTCACTTAGTTCAGAACAATGTTTATAAACCATTATTGCTTAAAAGTCTGGGGGGAACTTCAAAAAAATAAAAAGAATCTCTTCTATTTATTGATACTCGTAAAAGTACAACAACAAAACTTGTATGATCACAAGAGATCAGCCATCTTCAAAAGCAGAAATATTACAAAATAAATAAAGAAAACTTTCTTTTTGCTATGTGATTTTATACATATTTTGTTTTCATTGCTTGTCTCTATTCGGAAAGTTGTTCTTTTTAAATTAAAATCTTCCATTAATAAAACTAAAATCGGCCACATACCCACAGTCTTCGCGGTGCGAACGCTGCGTTTTGGGGTTTTCGTTTTCATTTTCTTCGCATACCGAACGGTAAATATATGACTTAAACTAGATGCCGGAACCCTTATTAATGCCGGAATGTGTATTTGTTTGCATGAGCAATAATTTTCAGCCACATACACAATTCCAGTAAGTTGCCAATGAAGACACAAAGTCGAATACAGTTAAAGATGTGACCGCAGCAGCCTTTTCATATGCAGATTCAGTTACCATTTCAGATGCTAGACAACAGGTTGCGGCATCATCCACAAAGATGCCGTTGTGGTCTTGCTTTTGTTGTTTGATATAGCATCTTACTGGCATGTACCGCATGCATATTTATATGAATATCTATATATACATGTATGTACGAAGATATAAAAAATCTTCGTACTGAGGAGAACACGTACTATATTTTGATCACTTGTTAATTTAATTCATAATTTCATATTTCAACATCAACAACAATATTAGTTATGTCTGCAGTAGCAGTAGTAGAAAACAGAGTGGATTGAAGAATGGTTGCTGAAGTGTCTTCATTCTCTATTACAACACTAATTTTGTGAAACAAATTCTGGTAGTTCATAACTAAACTTTGCAGAAGACAGCATAAGGAAGTCGTTAAGAGTTAAAGTTTTAAATAAAATATGCTTTCACATACCAACTTCAAGTTTTAATTAATACTTTCTATAATAATATTGCGAGCTTCTTAATCAGTGCACATAGAACTGGGTTTTTGAATAATATAAATATGGATAAGCAACTATTAACTATTGTCCAAAAAAAAGCTCTATAATACACTAAATTACTTCAGATGAGGATTGGAGAGAAAACACTATTTTGTACGTGAAACTGTAAGTGTGAATAAACATAACCTCATCTTGAGACGACACAATGAATGATTAACACCGTCAAATCTTGTAAGACTAAAACGTCAACCTTTCTCTGTTGTTGGTGTCTTGCAATTAACGGAAAATGAATCTAGGTACCTGACTTGGCGTTTAGCAAGCTAAAACAGATCTAGAAGCAAACTTCTATTCACATTTGAATTGAAGAATCTTTATGGAAAACAGAACATATCCTATCGCTTACGATTCGTAATTTTATCTTCAACAGTAATAATACTGAAAAGAAAATTTATACAATTTCAATATATTTTAGGAATTTTTAGAAAGTTGTTGAGCATATTAATACTTATTAATCAATATTTGTGTTATAGAACTGTGGTGCATCAATAGGCTATAGAACATATAAACATATGAGTTTATATAAAATAGTTACAGCTAAAACATAAACAGAAACCAAAGATTATAAAATGAAAAGTGTCTTATACACATCAAATATGTTTATATACTGTTATTGAAGATCTTTTAAATTGGAGACCAAAATATCCATTCCTTTCCTAATTTGATGCAATGCACATAAGACGATGAGAAGTAGCACTATAACTTTATACATAATCCAACTAGGAGAGTTTGCAGAAGTAATGGTTGTAAAAATTATACGTGAATAAATACATGAAAGTTCCCTGTGAATGGAGAAATTAAGCAAAGAGGAATCTAAACGTTAAGACTTCTTTAATAGACACTCTCTCATTTTTTGCAAATAAGAGTTATTTTATTTTAATCTTATTTTAAGAGTTTTTATCGAAAAATAAGATTTAAAACGATACTATGAGCAATAAATCATTACATATTAATCATTGCTACATTGCCGATTTTATATAACCCATTTTAAAAACTGTTGCTTTATCCTGGTACAACAAGCCATACACTTTAATAATCAATATCGATGTACTGAGAACAATAAAGTAAATCAAATCTGCTCTGTCGGTGCCTAATGTGTACTTATTAGGGGCTTATCTAAAATTTTAAGGCACTAGCAGATTTAGTGAATTATATGAATTACTGCTGCACAAGTACCTAAATGTTATTGAAGACACTAAAAGCCAATTTTTCAATCGAAACTTGAATTTTGATACTGATTTAAGTCATGGTTAAGATATGACTAAATTCATTACTAAATCAATTTTGTGACTTAAGTTACTAACGTGAAATCGTTTCCAAATACTTTTCTTTTTCACTACAGATATACAGGTTGTCTTCAACAATATTAGTTGATGCAAACTTTAATGGAGCGCTGTCCTAATATAATTTTGTTTATACATATTCGCAATAAATAAAAAAAATACTTAAGTTATTTCTTAGACGTGACAAGGTTACGGGTTTAACTCAATCAAAAATTTAACTTATTTTAGTTTTATCTCTTGTAAAAATCTAGAGCATACGTAATAATATAAGTAAGTTAGATTGGATTTTACGAAGATAACAAAGGTTTGCAACTCGCGTTTTCGGGCAAAATCTTTGAGGGCATCACAATGAGCAATATATGCCTCCGAGTGGAAGTGCTAAAACGCGCTTTCTTAACCTAAGCTAAGTTGGATCTGTTAACTGTTTAACACTACATGAACGAAATGTGGTATACAGACCTGATGGAATTTAACGATATCAAATTTAATCTCAATCCAACCTTACTCAATAATATAATCTAGGTTAGGTTGGATTGCACTGGTTGACACTAAATGAATGAAATGCGATGTATAGATCCAAATGCTTTTGATAATACCAAGTGCGCATATATGACATTCGTAAATGTGACTCTCATTGCCTCATCCCTATAGTGAGATCTTTGTAATTCTCTTTGTAATGAGCAGAAAATATTTGCAACTCATGCGGAGGTCTTCTAATAATATTGTTATAGAAAAAATTCTGCTTAATACGTCACAAGGCATAATTTGCTTGGTAAATTTAGATTTGCATTTAAATAGACATGTTGACAATTATGGAAAGATGGGCTAAGAGATGGGCAAAGAGATGGGCTAAGAGATGGGCAAAGAGATGGACAGTTCACATAATTAAAATCGATGAAAACTTTACATTACAATGATTAAGCAAATCTGCAGAAAACTAAAGCAGGACGATGAACCTGATACAGGAAGATAAAGCTTAAACCAAGATAGGTTGATGGAGTTATCCAAGATACTGCAATTTTACTACTAAAATATTAGTGTACATAAGTTAAAGACATATTATGGCTTATGGAATCAAAAACTACAGCAAGAAGAACGAACAATATGTTATATGTAAGGTTCCAAGAACGGCTGGGTCTACGTCCCGGACCCACTCGTCGCCAACGACTTCACAAGCAGGTCCGAGCGGGTTACAACAACAACAATATGTGATGAAAATAATTTCAAACGATAGTCGATTTCAATAAAAACTGTTTATCAGGACTATTTACTCTTCAAAAGTTTCTATGTGTGGATATCAATCAATGTCAGTTAATACAACATCATAAACCACTTTTAATTTCTTCCTCTACTTCGCTACTAATTAATTTAAAATCTTATAGTAAATATTGCTCGCATTTAACTAGAAAATTGTATACAAATCTGCAATCTGGATGTAACGATCAGCACTGAGTTCAAGACAATCTGCTCAATTAAAAGACTAAACAAAGGCTTTGTAAAATATTTATGGACATACATAGATACACTTTTTCATGCTCAAATAATTCAACCAAGGTAAAACGATAAAATACGATAAAACACAGCAGGGGCTAATAGGACAAACCAAAACGTATACTTGTAAGGATATTTTTTTATTTAGACAGGTAGGAAAAATTCCTTTTAAATTTAACTACCAATTGTGACGCGGCTTAAGTTCAAGGAGCAACTGCCGAACTGTCGTTCACCTGAACGCACACTAGTCTCAAGGGTCTCTTCTCAAGAGCAACTATGTACTGTGATATACACGATACCTTCCAATTCAACCTTTTTGACTGCGCAATTCTCAACACAACCAAACTGTGAACGTAGAATATGAAGCACTAATCCTGCAGACCTGCACTTAACCATTCAAATCCATAATCAATTTGAGCGGTGCTCGCAATTATAATACAATTAACTAATTTTAGCAAATAACAGAAAATGCAAAAAAATGTTATGTCCAAATCTGCTTTTTTGTCACTGAATTTCGGTTCCTCTTCTGCTTCAGATTTCAAACCAGAACACTTTCATTCATTTCAAAAGCCAACATGGCGGCCTTTTTGCCACAAAATGTGTGAGTTTTGTTATTGCTGCCAATTACTGGCAATTGCTGCCAAATCCCACCAAAGTGCTGATGACTGCAAATGTTTTCTTCACTTGACTTTAATTATAAAACACGAGGCAGCAATTGTGTTTATTAAAATTGATCGGCCTTCGGTACAACCATCAAATCAAGTAAATTCAATTTTTTTTTGTTTCATATTTTCATTAAGTTCACATTATTGCGTAAATTTCCGCTGTACCCGCTAACCGACATACTTACGATGTGGAAGTGTGTCTTTCCTTTAATTAATTACAGATACTTTTGTTGTTATTAATTTGTTTGTATCTTCCGTTTAAGCAAAATTAAACAAGCCACTTTTTTACGAAACCGCACTTAAGATCTGTATGTATCTTGCGCCTTGATTTGCTTGCCACTTTTATTTGTTTTCTTCTACACTTTTCGTATTTTTGTTATTTTTATATTTATTATTTTTATAAGAGCGCGCATGCGCCACTGACTTTTGCACAAGCGTCAAACGATCACAAAAGCGCACGACCAGACTCTCACGATTTAACAAACTCTTCTGACACAGCCTCTTCAAATACATTTTGTACAATCAATAATAAACAAAGCAACAACGAACACAACTCACTTGAGTATGGTGTGTGGTGAGTACGAGCGTGGTGAAATTTATATCAAAGCAAACGCAATACCTCCCTGACTTTAGCATGCAAATATTGATTTATCAATAATTAAAGCTGATGTTTATTATATTCAAATATCGGAATGTCGTTGTGTTCCCTATAACCGTCACCTTCCTTCCCTAATCTCTATCTCCAACATTTTATTTTTATAGCTAATTCAAATAGTTTTCTATTTTATTTTATATTTATATTAATAATAATTTTATTTATTTAGGGACTAATTGGTCAATAGTTAAATAATAAACTTTCAAAAAAATTTTTTTTTTTTATTTTTAAAAGATTTTATTTTAACCGATATTTCGACTATAATCTATAGTCATCATCGGGATACTATAAATGTAAATGTGTTACACCAAGAAAATAATCAATAAAAACGCTTTTTCTTGGAAATGCTATACATCCTCTAATCTCCTAGTGACACCAGACTCAACTATAAAACTGGCATACAACACTGTGCTCAGGTGTATAAAAGCACCTTCAACAAATCCGGAAGAGAATAAATTTGTCTTTCCTATATACATATATATACATATAAAAGTTTATTATTTAACAATTAAACAAATAGTCCGTAAAAGAACAAAACTATTATTTAAACCAACAATCATTAAAACAAATTTATTTTTATATTTATATTAATATTTTAATTATTAATAAAATTAAAATATTATATTTTTAATAAATATTTTCTTTATATATCTATAGCTAATTAAAAATTGTCCTAAGCTCTAAAACCCGTAGTTTTCAATAAATTTACTTAAAAAAATGTTTGTGCTCATCATGTAAAATTTCTCCCGACATTTCGAAAACCGAGCTACATTAATATTAAGAGCTGTGAAAAATGAGCTTCATAGAAATCCGTCGTTAAATTGTAGAGCAAGATTGTGATTTACAGAGCGCTATCACTAACTATTCTGGGCAAGTTTTTCCTTTACAATTTATGTCGAAGAAGCTTGGTTTTCCAGATATAGAGCTTTAAATTTGTAAATTTTTATTTCTTAATTTTTTTAATAATTACACAAACAAAAAGTAGTTAGCCATCCATTGGTAACTAATATATGAAATTCTCCATTAATTACACAAATATCGATTAACAATAGCTACTGCTTGTCTAGTTGTTATTAGTATTTTTAATGCAAATTTAAAGCCCAATCTCTCTCAAAAAAAAAAATGTAGCTGTGAAAATCGCGACGTCTAACAAACTGTACACATATCAAATTTGGTTAGGAAATCATCCAAATCCCGCTTAAGGAATTGTCAGCGTACTGCTAGCTGTTAAGTCATACATATCAAACATATTATTCGTTAAAACAATAAACTATGTAAATAAGTGATATTCCGCTTTTTTTTTCTTTTTCAATAAAATTACAAATAAGTTTTCAAATCGGGAAGATTCCAATTACCTGAATATAGCAATATGATAGCGAACTTTTGTAAATTTATTTCTCTTTATGTTTTCCTTTTCAGCAAAAATTGTGTAAAAGCTTTCAAATTGGGAAGATTCCGATTAAGTGGGAATCCCTATCTGGCAGCAGAGTTTGGTGAATTTCAATATTTTAAGCAATTTTTTCTGAAACGCTACGTGTCGAATACCTGAATACACAACTAAAAAGAAGTCAAGCCATCTAGCGGTAGTAAATGAATTTCTTACATTGATTACCAAATGTTTACCAATAACTAAGTTCGCCAAATGATACTTTCAGTCCTTGATTTTTTCATGCTGTTGGTTTGCAGATTAAGGACCGACACCTAAAGAATCAAATTATATCGATATATAGTAATAAAAGAATAGCTGATTTTAGTAAAATTTTTTAACAAATCGTAGTGTTTGGAAAGGACGAATACCGCAGTATTACAGATTAAATTCTGAAGTCTGAAATTCTGAAAAGTGAATACTACAAAATATTTTTTGACAATGTTTTTACAATGTATTATCTGTAGACTATATCGTTAATGATTGAATCTTTAGATCTCTAGAATCCCATAGATACACCACTGTTTATCACAATACTATTGTTTCTTTGTCTTTTTGAGTCACTGTTGAGAGAAGAACTTAGTTGTTCTGAAAGACGGAGTGCTCCGGGATCTAGACCCGGCTGCACCTAGAACCATGTTTTAAATTGTATCTGCTTTTCTAAAGTGATTTAATATACATATAATAATTTTATTTGTTTTGTGACGCTGTATTAATATTTTTTTGTAATAGTCCAAATAATTTTTAAAAAATGTCTTTCTATAATTTTTAGTATACTTATATGTTTAATTTCATATCTACATATAACAATAACTAACGCCCAGGAAAATTCAACATCATAACAGTCCAGTATAACAAAAGCCAGAACTGAGATGATCTATAGTTGTTACTAGAGTAACAACTATTACTCATTGTGTTTTTTTCATAGTTTCTTAAACATCGAATTATGTGGGTCTTTTTCGAGTTCAATGTGAAAAATTCAAATGTATATCTGGTGCCTCTTTTGTTATGTTGTCATCCGTTCTTTGCTTGAAAATAGTTGATAGAAGTTAATTCCAATAAATCCACATATATTACAATCACTGTTAATCGAGGAAATAGCCCCACAATAAGTCTTTTCGGAAATACTATTCCAATAAGTACAAACAAATGTGCTGGTTGCTGATTGAGATGTAAGATCTCAATTGTGCCTAATAAATCTATCCATGAAGATGTAGATGTACTTAATATAAAATTTGTAATTCTAAAAAATGGTTCTAAATATTTGCAAACATTGAGAAACCACATTAATCCACTATCTATGGTTCTATTAAATGAAAATAAAGATGTTCGAAGACTGAAGAAATTACTGCTATTAGAAGGTGGTTTGTACCTGTTTAAGTTGTTTTTAAGTTACTGTTTAAGTTACTAACAGCGTTAAATCTTCTTTTGTTTCCTCATTTTGTACACACCCCGGATACACCTATGCAAAGCATTAGCCATATTTATGCGTAAACAAATATAAAAAACTATAATACGTTTTTATTCATGTATAAATATTTAATATTATGTATGTATAAATATTTAACATCAATACAGTTTTCAAAAAATATTCCATATACGTGCTTTACAGATTACAATATAATAATAGATATATATCATAATATAATATAGTAAAACATTATGTGACATAAACCTTATGTTTCGCAAGTGTTTTATTTGTATATTTTTAAAAAAAATAAAAATGTATAAAAATGCTGATATATTTAAGTTAACACATATCGCCTGTTTAGAATGAAACTTAAGTGTAATCGTTGTTTTTTATTCAATTGATATGAACGGAAAGTTTTTAATTTAAATGCAGTTTTTCTTTACTCGAAAATTGTCGAAATTATAAAGAAGTACAAAGAGGAGGCTGTGCAGAGTATATGATAAAACAAACATAAAATTTTTATTGACAGTGAGTCCGTAAATGCTAAAAATACATATTTAATACTTTGTTCTAATCTTTAACATACATTAATCTAATATACAAGTTGGGCCAAATTTTACATAATAGAAATGCAGTAATGTGAATACGTTAATTACTTGCTATATATAATAAACTGCTTATTTAAATATGCATATATGCATACACATATATGTAAAACTAATGATAATAAAAATGATTAATTTTATAAAATTTAAGGCAATTGCGGATTGTACTTTTTGTTTATAAAATCCTTTTTGTATGCGTAAGCATAAAACATTTGTGTTTCGCAAAAAGTATAATCGGTGGATTATTTTATTCAATTGAAAACAGTTAATTTGTAACAAAATATGAAAAGAAATACAAACAAAAATACGAACAAAAATACAAACAAAATTACAAACAAAATTACAAACAAAAATACGAACATTAATAATATAATAAAATGTTATAAAATATTAGTAGAATATAAAGTCCCTAATAATTTCAAAATACAAGTTTTAACTAAATTTAGTATTTCAACATTAAGCTAATTTCAATAGCAAAATTAAAAAAATATACAAAACATTTAAAAACGTATGAAATACATATATAATAATATGTAATAACATATTAAATGGATAACATACAATATTTCGAAAATCGATCGTCGGTATATAAATAATTATAAAAAATTGTTTTAAAAATATGCGATATAAAGAGGGCAACTAAAATTATGATAGAGTGTTGTTACTGCTATTGTGGTAAATATATCTAAAGGTTTCTTTCAACCTAATGATGACATTTGAAATAAATGGTACTTTGTTGATGGATAAATTGTCATAGACCGTTGTAATCTGAAGTACACCACAGAAAGATTTGTCAAATCGTAATTGAACATTTAAAATTGACTTTCCTCATGTGTTGTGGTTTTTGTCGTTACTGTTTCTGTTGTATCACCATTGGTTTTCTCGTGTGAAATGCTGGTTATTACTGATTTGATAACAACGGAGCTAGTGCTGGTTTCAGTTGTGCTACTGCAAGAAATTTATCATAAGTTTTCAAGTAAGTAATAAATTAGTTGATTATAATGCTTCAAACGTTATTCGAGCTATTCGATGTTTCGACCGATCAATTTACTGTGGTCAACAAAAAAATATATTTTGTTTAAATATTTACTATTATAGTATTTATGCATAAAAAACTCGAAAACAAAATAAAACATGATACAGATTATCTGATCTGTTCAAATAGTTGGAACATTTATGAACATTTGAAAAGTTTTGAATTTAAGTATACTTGAATGGCATCGTAATGCTTGAACATTTTGAAGCACTAAATAAGATATTTACCTGTTGGGTGCTACATCCATTAGATGTGGTATATTAAAATCGTTGATGTCTTTCATATTAACGGTGGTCAATGTTTGATTAGTTTGTGTACTTAACACAGAGAGGCGGCCTGCAATGTTTTTATATTTTTAATTAAGTTATTTCAAAAGCAATTAAGAACAAAGTAAGTTTAAGCAAATTTTTTTTAATTCAAAAATTCAATCCACAATTACCGTTTTACAATAACCAACAATATTATTTTACCTTCAATTAAAAATTATAAATTACTGACGTCTGGAAATTGATAAAATATAATTATTTGTTTGGTACATTTTAATGGATTCTTCTACTGCTGCCTAGAAAATCAAATTTTATAAAAAAATATAAATTTAATTTCAAACAGAAAACTAAATTTTACACAAAAAGAAAATGTTTTTTGAATCCTGCAGGACAAATTACAAATGCGAAATCGAAAGCAAACAAACAAATGTACACTGCTGCTTAGACGTCGATACGATATGTACGCATGTACATATGTGAATAAAAATATTTTTCCAATACTCTATGGTACATAACATATATAATATATAAAATATAAATCAACACCACTCTCAGCTTATTTGTACTTTTATAATCCCAATAGCAACCACTTATGATTACATAAAATCATTCCTGTTTTCTCAACAGAAACGAACAAACACTTATTTACTTACCAACTGTTTCTTCGGTTGTGGTGGAGCATAAAGTAGTCGTAGTTGTGTTTAAATGATCACGTACAGAATCAACGGTTATATCTCCTATGCTACTGCTGATTGTTTCATTTGCGCGATTAGGCGAATTGCCTTCTCCGCTGGAAGCCATACCATTTGTTAGACCATTACTATCCACGCTAACTTCCAATACTTTTATAGTGCGTTCTTTAGCTATAGGAGCGGCAAACTTATCTGCCTCTGTACATTCTGCCCCATCTTCTTTAACACCATCGTCATGTGAACTGTTGTTCTGTTCATCAATGGTTGCTAATGGCTCAACTTCTATACCACCTAGTGGTGTTACTACCTTAGAGCTACCTAATGAAATACGCTGCAGTTCAGAAGAAGACATCATGTATAACGCTTCGCCGGCGTTAGTGAAGCATAGTGATGAAATGCCACTATTAAATAAATCGAATACAAATTTTATATGTTTGTAAAGAAAACTTAAAGAAAAAATTTACTTTATATCTTCACGACGTACAGCTGCGGCATTAAGTTGACGTTTTAATTCTGGTATAGTCAAAACCATTATGTCGCCTAGATTGGTTAAACAGAGCAATGCCATTTCATGATATAAACGCGTGTCAGCAGCTGCATCAGCTGCAGAGCCCATACTGGTATTTGCTAATTCGGCATTAGGTGTAGCATCATGCGATCTGGTTGACTTTGTTGGACTGCCTCCAGCAATCGCACTTTGTATTAATTCAGCGGATGCTCTACAATAAAATGAACCAAAATGTATGCGACGCACTCTAGCTCCCTCATTTGCTGTCAATTTATATTTGTTTATTGGTTTTAATTGTGGCAAGGAAAATATTTTAAATTGTTCCTCTGAAGCAATTAGTACGCGATGTGGTGGTGAACCATTTCCTCCATTTAGTTGTTCCACTGGACAACCAGTTTGATCGAAAATTGATATTCCAACAACTGGTGCACGATGTTTCAATTGAATCTCTTTAGCTAACTGAGCGGTAACGCGACGTATTTGCGGTGCACTAGTGTCTCCACTTGCCGGTGGTGTAGATGTCGCAGCGGTTTGTGCGGGTGGCAAATGCAAAAGGAACACAGAAACTGTACTGGAGTTCGTAGCAGACCATAATGTTGGTGAGGTTATGTTCACTGTGATGATATTAGACTTATTAAAAATAATATTGTATAACATTATTTATTACTCACCATTTGTTATAAAAGTTTTAGCGAACATCAAGCAACGAACCATAGATCCCATGCCGTCGTCTGCTGATCGTGCTTCTACTTGCCGCTCTATTGGACGCGCATCAAGCTGTTTCAAAACAAAATATACTTAAATTTATTGATATAAATAAATTCAAAATTTTATCTACCGTTGTTGGTACTTGCTGTGTTGGATTGTTTCGTGTTGAACGCCCTTTACGTAATTTACGGAATGATTCTCGCAAAGATTTCTTGAAAGATTTCCGACGGGATAATTGTTCACCAGCTCCCGTCAGATCTTAAGAATAAAGAAAGTAGTCATTCAAATATGTTGTTGACATTTTTTTTTTAGTTACTCACCATTAGGATTTAAGGTACATCGATGAAATACTGGCAGAAAATTTTTGAAATCAAACAGTACTAAACCGTGTGCTGTTCCACCAGAAACAAGACCCCAGTTGGCTTCCAAAGCCAGGCATGTTATGCTAGCTGGTGGTAGTACTTGCAACACACCAGTGATTTGTACACCATCTGTACACACTGGCTCAGCGTTAGGATCCAGTAAATTTGAACGAACATTTAATTGATCATGTCCCTTCCACACAAAACCGTCACGATCACTTACTAAATTCATTGAACTAACTTTTAAAGGTGCTTTTTCCTCATCATTACCATCAAAATTGGCTATAACAATTTGGCCAGCTGTTCCACCTACAATCAGCTGACCTGTTTTCGGGCACAATGATATTTTTTTTACAGCCAGTCGTGGATCGTCAGAATAAGGATCGAATAGGCCAGCTTTACGAAATGGTGGTTCAGACTCATCTACAGATTCAGTTGCATCTAAAGGTATATCATCTTGATTTTCATGTCTAAATATAAATAATTATTATTAATAAAGTTAAATTTATATTTTGTAAATCTTTATATATACCCAAAGACAGTGGCAGTTTTAAAATTGTATATGGGCTTCAACACGATATCTGTGCAATCCCAAAATTTAACAGAACCATCTTCATGCCCTGTCAATAAAATTTCATACTCTTTATCGTCCTCATTTACATCATCGTTTTCTACACCTTCAGCTAATATTCCGCCAGTGATTGGCCATTCTATATTACTATAATTTGCATCTTGTTCTTCTCCAGCGCGTTGAATTTTCTCATGAACTTCTTGCGAAACTTGAGATGCTAAGTAATTGCAAGTAACTGCCGAAGCATGAACTGAGTGTAAATATGGCGCTTTCACTGCGGGTACCTTTGGATCTACTAAATCATAAGCACATAATTCCTCCTCTAACAAAACGATGAGCACCTGCGCCAAATCGCTTTCGTCCTTATATGTTACAAAAAAGTCAATCACTTTGGAAGTAAAATCTAAACAGGTTTTATTTCCGTCACTAGCATGGACAGACACGCAATTATGGTCACCATATGCAGATCTTGGCATACCTCCCGAAAAAACAGTTATGTCGATCAATCTATATGCAAAAATTTAGATAAAAAAAATCAGTTACAAAATTGCAAGCATAAATTTTAAAACCTACCCTCTTTTGCCTTTGTACAGACGGTTAATGCTCTTGCATGGATCCGGGCCATAGGGAACATAATTAAGATTTTTCGGCACGTCTGTACTATTTAAACTCCAAGTGGCATACGAACCATCAGCATGATACCATGTAAATTGTGTACCATTCGCATTTATAAATAGGCCAACACTCTGACCATGTCCAGGTGCAATATAAGAACGTGTAACTGAGGAAGTTTCCAAATCCCACAGCACACACAATCCCCGATTATACGCAATCAATAACTTATTGTGCGCATTTGGAAGTTGTTTAATAGATTCAATGGCGCCAGGATTAAGTTTGTACGTTGGTGGCACTTGTTCCAAAACAACATCGTGGTATATAACCGGCTCGCGTATGGCAAACGATTTCAGATCGAACTGATATATGTTACCACCCTCAGTGCCTACCCATACAATGTCTTTATTAAGTGAACAGCAAAGTGCAGAAACTTTTTTGAGTTTGCCATCAAATGGTAATGTTTTAATAGCAATAAGTGCAGCTCCCACTGGTTCCCACAATATAAGCTGATTGGCAGCTGTTAGAGACAAGAGCCTGCCAGTGCCATAGACCCATTCTAGCATTTGCACATTAAGTTCCGCTGCTGAACCACTCGACATTGTATGCTGTCCATAAAACTCAACACCAGGTTGACCGAAAACCTTAATGGCACCTGTCTGCGTACCGATGGCCATAAGTTCCGACACCGGGTCATAAGCCATAGCTGATGGTTTGTGCGGAAATCCATGCTGTGCAGTCTGCAAAAGAACACAAGAAACGAAAAGAGGTAAATAACCTTAAAACAAAAGAAAAACGTTATTACTGCTTCGTTGCTCTTTCTTCTAACACTCATTTATCATTTTTAATCATTCGCTTGGCTACATAACAATGTCGATTTACGTTGAGTTAATTGAGTTACTTTACGCAAGCAGTGGAAAATATTAAAAAGAAAGACCTTTTAAACGTCAATCATTTTCGGCAATTAGTTAGGGAAAGGATAATTCCGGTGTTATTCGATGGCAGGAAACTTAAAACATTACTTTATGGGAAGAAATTGTTCACTCTATAATTCTTAAACTCTTTAACAAATCACTTTTATCAACATAGTCAATAATCGAATAGTTGTGTTGACTTATGTTATGTTCTGTATTCAAGTATTTTCTATTGATTATGGAAAATTCTATAAAAAAAACTATAGTTCTGAAAAGTTTAACGGTACCTTTTGAATTTGTTGGCTGTCTGAAAACGAAACTCTGCTAAAACCTTCCGCGTAAAAAAGCATCGCTTAACTGAATTCAAAGAAAATCGCCAAATGGTTTCAATGCCAAAAGCTCAAACCAGCGAAAGAAGAGCAAAATAAAAATCTAATGAAAATAAAAGCCACATTCAAAACACAACCACACTTATTAAGACGGTCGGTCTGGTCTTTAAAATAATATTTTTTTTAGTTTCGGTTTTTGTTTTTATTTATTATATTTCTTACATGTAAATTGCTTAGTCTATCAAATTATCTATTCTCTTTTTGGGTCGTTCATGCTCCGCTTTACATTGCAGCGCTTCCAACAGAAAACGAAAGAACTTTGATATTCGACCCAATTTAGTGGTAAACTGGGCTCAAATTATGGTTAAACCTCGCTTACTTCAAGTGTACATAAAAGAACTCATTTATGCAGAGGTTGTTATGGCGGTGAAGTGCTGACAGAGCGGGCGGAACGGGCGTTTCAAAAATAATAATACAAAAAAGTTAAGAATAAAATTTTGCTACTGATCACATAGAACTTATGCATACAGCACTTTACAGTGAAAATAATGGGGAAGTAGGAAGTAACCCTGATATATATACGGTTATTATATTGAAAGAAATAATGGTTAAAATATGAAAAAAATTATTGGCTGCATACCAGATATGTATTTACTATAGGAGCCCTATAAAAAAAACTATAATGTCATTTAAAATGTCATACCATTCAGACATAATTGTATAAAAGTTTGAGTTCACTGTGATATTTGCAACACAGTAGAGATTATAACTTAAGGTAATAAGAAATATATATTTGTGTATATATCAACTTGACGTGTTTGAAATAAATGGAGACGATGAAGATAAAAAGAAGCACTATTTGCAGTTGACGTATGAGACTAGAAACGCCGCCTGAAATGCAGTTTTTTGTCAGACCGTCAGATCTGTCTATGTTTCAACGGAACATATCTTTTAGTTTTCGAGAAGAAAATGTAGCACATTTTCTTTTTGGGAACGGATATTGAAAACGTTTGGATTAATTAAAAAAAGATGACTATATTTCACAACAGTGATATAAACTAAGCAGTTTTTATTTAGTTTGGTATGTCATAGGTGAGTACAATATTGTACTTGATATTGATTTAAATTTAAAGTCGACGAATTCTATCACAAAATATGCTTCTAATTTTTATAAATATATAATAGATGTTTTCACAAATATTTGGACTTAATGAAATCAATATTACTATCTGAGGAAAGTAAGTTACGACAAGACAAGACAATAATAAGACCGCTAGCTACATATGGCTCAGAAACATGGACAATGATGAAGGCGGACGAAAAAGGTTTCGAAAGATTTTCGAAAGAAAAATAGTTCGCCAGATCTATGGGCCAATCCAAATTGGTGTAGATACTTTTCAAAGACGAACATATAATGAAATTGAATAACTACTAAGAAACGAAAATATAGTGAGATAAATTAGCCAAGTCTACAATGGGCTCATGTAGTAAGAATGGGAGCGGAGAGAATGCCGAGCAGCATATACAACGCAAAACCGATGACAACCAGGCACAGTGACGGGCTAAGAACAAGATGGGATGAGAACGTGTATGGTGATACAAGAAAGATGGGAGTACTGAAGTGAAAGAGGGTAGCAGAAGATCGGGACAGATGCAGGCAGAGCGTGAGGGAGGCCAAGATTCGTACTGGATTATAGTGCCAACTAAGAAGAGAAGAAGATATAAACTTAGAAATTGTTTCTTACAAAGTTATCTAACACTAGGTTCGAATTTTAATATATAGGTAAAGTTACTTAATGTGGATTATATGGTTGACATACAACAAAATTTATCTACATTTGTTTATAGAGCAAATAAATTTTACCAAACATCACTGCTACAAATTATGCCCATCAGATTTGATTCTAATATAACTTATAATGTAGTCCTCTTCTTCTATAATGTCTAATCAGTAAGACTGCTCTTTGTAAAGGTTAGTCGAAACTAAATTTTAACTTGTCTTGATGGATTATTTATACAATTATAAACAAAGATATTTGGGTGGATTGCATAAAAGAATCATAAACGAATAAAGTTAAATTTCCCTTCTTTTGTAGATACGATGGATATGCTCGTATATCTTGAAATAGCACTATGTATAGTTGTAATAAAAACTAACAAAAATTTATATACATTGAAACACACTTATATATATTTGTATGTATTATATACGTATAGACATCATATATCACCATCATCATAAGTGCTTAGCTTACTAACTAAAGTACTTTTATGTGACCCATAGATGTGTCATGGTTGAAATGATGACTAAACCGATAGGTGTGAATTAAAACTAGAAAAGTTTTGTTACAAATAATACTTGAAAGATTCTTTTTTTCCTTTATTTAGTGTATTAAGATATGTTTGTTACATTTTTAGTCAACTCTAATTATATAGGCTTTAATGACATTTTTTTAGGCACCTACATGCAGATCTATATACAACAAAGAAAAAATACACATACAAGATATTCTATTCCTATGAAATCTATATATAACAAAGGAATGTATATATTATACATTAGATATTTGTTCTTCTGGATTCGCTTTCCCATTCGATTCGTATGAAATGAATATATAACAAATAATTATTTACTCTTCCATGATATTTTCTAGCTTTATTGAAGAAAATGCATTCACTACAAAAAATGGGAGTAAGAGGATTGAATTTATATGTAGTTCTCGAGCTTTCCTGAAGGATTTTGTAGACAACAAATTGCATTGTGTTGTGTATGCCCGCCAATCCCATTTTTCTATTCCACCAATTTCAGGTGGATTTCATTTAATTAAAAGACCCTAAATTAAACATTTCCATGACACGAACGAGTGAAAACGTTTTGTTGTGTTGTAAATAATAAACGGCATTGTTATCGTTATCATCTTTCGATTAAAAAAATTCTTTACACACAAAATGATGACACAATAATATATGGTAAGACCGTTTGGCCTTAGAACTACATGGCAGTACAAAAATAGTTAAAGTTAAAATCTTACGAAATAATGTTGAGGTGCCCTAATTACAGGTGCAGTGCCTACAAGTGGAATCGATTTTTGCTAAAGTGAACGTGAGTAAGAATTTCATATCTTATCACTGATTTCCATTATCAGTAACATTTTATTTATTTATTTATTCTTTTTTTAGTTTGAATTCCTTTATTTTTAATATTTTGTACTAATAGCAATCGAAATTGCTCCAACCCTAGTCTACCCAAGTACAATGATTTCATATTTAACCTGCAGCGCGTCTACAAAATATGGAAGAATTCTCGTATGTCGTAGCCTAATCTTATCATAGCGATTACCAGTACTTTTATATAAAATTATATTTTCTATATATTGTTTTTCTATATTTATGTACCTTTTTTAATTTTCGTAATTTATTGTTTAGTCGATTAAGAAATATTAAAAATATTTTGTTTGATTTTGGTAATATGGAAAACGACTTAAAGTGTCAAGAACTGAAAGAAGCCTTAAATAACTGAAGAGACTACTCCTAATTCAAATGCAAACAAGCCTAAATGCTGACTTTACGGAGAATCAAAAGTTTGTATTAATTAATTAGAATGTTAAGCACGTTCATTTGTACGGGCGACCGCGGTACATGTACACACACACTTCCAACGTTTATTTTGGAAAGATATGAGTTGCGGTGCTATGACTCATACGATCGACTTCGCATGCGGCGTCGTTTGCACGCAGACAATTTATACAGATGAATTTCAATTGTTCAAAAATATTCCCAAGATGAGATCAGAAAGTTTTCTAAATTGGGTGTTGTGGGAGAGACAGAGCTTGGAATATGTATTCCAAGCAAATATATGCAAAATTTAATTGAGCCATTAATGTGGGAAATGTTTCAGGTCCATATTAGTATGATCCAAGAATCAAAAGAAGTTGTTTTTCATTCAAAAGTTCAAATTTGAATAGATATATATTAATTGAATCAAGCTTTCTGGTATCTTGTACGCAACTTGAATGAGGGTATTACATTTCACACTTGGCAAAAGTTGGCAAAACGTTCTGTTAAATAGGGTAGAGCCAGACAACGTCTCTAGACATTCAAGAAGAAATCTTTGCAGAAATATTAATGGCTTTATTCGTATTACTACTAAATACGCGAATGGTCAAGTAAAATGTAGAAATACAGTTAGTATATCTTTATAACCGGAAATCAAGAATCGAACAAAAGGTTTCTAGTCAACAATTGCAAGAACGGTTCTGAAAAGTGTGTCAAGTAAATGTTTTGTTTACTACACTGAAAGAGGTAATTGATCTCCGAAGAAGAAGGGAAAGTTTTATAAAAAATGTTTACTATATATAATGATAAAAGAAAAAAAAATTACATTAAATGACAATAAATTACTTATTTCTCTTAAAATCATGCAAATATAATTTAATACTAGGGGTAGAATAAGTTCCAAACTTTAGGTAACGCGTATATACCAAGATGTACTTCTTA